GACGACGACTTACTCTACTTACTTTACGTTTAGTTTATAGTAGTAAGTAAGTAGAAGAAAGACACGTATACTACTAGTAAGAAAACTAAGTAAGTTAATTACTTTAACTTCTAGTTTTTTTCATAGAGTTAGAGAGAAAAAGAACAATACTACTCTATTTGTATCTTTCAAAGAAAGAAATGATGTCTGATTTATTCGAATCAGACGACAACTTCTCACTTTCTTAGTTTTTAAAAGAGTTAGAGAGAAAAATAACCATTACTCTATTTGTATCTTTCAAAGTAAAAAAAAAAGATGTCTGATGTTCTTAGTTTTTTTATAGAGTTAGAGAAAAAAAAGAGCCATTACTCTATTTGTGATAAGAGTTAGAGAGAGGCACTACCAGTTGCGTTTCCCGTATCTCTCTTTATCTAATGCATCGCCTCATTCCCTATTCTTCTCTCTCCAGGAGTCCATAAAAGAACCAAACCAAATGCATCTTTCTCGAATGCAGAGACCAGCAAATGACCAGACCAGAATGTATCCTCCATCTCTCTCTCAAGATAATCAAACTAAGTAAAATTCTTCGCCGCCCAAGAACACCCTTCACTACTCAAACGAACAAAACCCATTGGGATTGATGTAAAGAAGGATCACCCCAAGCACAGCACAAAAACCCCCACTAAAATGCATCGCATCTCCCCCTCCCCCTCCCCTTCTCTCTAAAACAAAACCCAAAAGAAAGATAAAAGAGGAGGAAGCTTTATAAGCATGAACTTTAAAGCAACAATCCATAGAGAGAGAGAGAGTGGATCTCACAGCTTAAGGACGAGATCGAGGAACTGATCGTTCCTTAGGGGTTCCAGAAGAGAACGGAGGTCCTCATTCTTTTCCTCCCCGTACGCTTTCTGGGCCCCTCTTCCATTGACCCCCCGCCATCTCTGTCTCTGTCGGTCTAAAATCAAAGCGATCCTTTTTTTTTTTTCTCTCTCCGCTTCCTCTCTCTAAAATCAAAAGGCACAACTGGCCGATCTCTCCGCTTTCTTTCTCTAAAATCAAAAGGCACAACTGGCCGATCTAACCACTAACCGTATAGTTAGATAAGAACCAGTCAATGGCCGATTTCGATTTTGAGCAGTTTTGATTATCAACTGGTACCTTAAACGTTAAGTAAAATATTACTTTAAACTTATATTAATTGTTTTAGAATGGATTATTGGTTAGCCTTGTTCAAAAAAATTTACCTCCTCCATTTCAAAGGTTCAAAAAATTTACCTGCTCAATAGAATAGAATTAGAAAACTTCAAAGTACTTTATTTATTTCCAAGGTTCAAAAAATTTATCTGCCCAATAGAATTGAACTAGAAAACTTATAGTAAGAAAGTCTTTTATTATTAGACCTACTAACCAATACACTATTTACTATTTTGTTGATAAAAAGAAGGGCTTATATTTTATATAACTTAATTTTTTTTTATTTTCTTTTAAAAAAAAAGTGTGTCAAGTCGATTTTTTAACACTATGTTAATATTCATTACATTATGGTAAAATTTTTTAAAAATAGTCATTGATAATCACTTTTATATTTTCTCATTTTTTTTTGGAAAATTTAAAAAATACCCCTAGGCAAAAATCGATTTATGAAAATCTATTTTTTCATTAATTTTCAACTTCATTTGAGTGTGTTTTGTTTTAATCACATTCTTATATGTTTTTCATAGTTTAGTAGATTTTTTTTGTATCTTTTTTATTTTTTTTCAACAATATCTTATCGTTCAGGACTTGTCTGGTTAGAGCGGTTGAATCGGTTGGTTTACCAGTTAGGCCAGTTAAATCACTTCCAGGCCCATATCTGGTTAACCGTTCCTGTTCGATTTTACGAACACTGGGCCAGACAGTTTTGATATTGGGCTATATACACTCTTACTGCAAAAATTGATAAAATTTTGACCAAAAAAGGGAAGATTTGGATTTGGTTTGGTTCGATTTGCTTAAGAGAGAGAGGGGGATTTTTGAGGAGGTGCCATGGACGAGCTTGCTACATTCGTAAAGGATTTGCAAGTTTTGGAGATAGCAAATAGCTATTCGGTATTTGATCTACCGAATACAAGATAAATCGGAAAGAAAACCGCCAAAAATTGCGCATTTATATATGAAAAATGGTTTGATAGGGCATATGTTTATGCATGCCCATTTGATGCATGAAAATCTTATAAAGTATGCCCGTTGGGGTACGGGAAATTGCTCATTTATATTGGGAGAACGGTTTGATAGGGTTGCATGCATATGTTTATACATGCCCTTTGATGCATGAAGATCATACTATGTATGCCCCTTAGTGTACGGGAAATTGCTCATTTATATATGGAAAATGGTTTGCTAGGCTGCAACTCTTATCAAAATATGTAATGCCTCATAACCTATTGAAAGTTGTAATTCAAGCATCAGTAAACTTTTACCATAGATCATCTTGGCATGACCATTATGGTTGTGAAAAGATAGGATTTTATGCTCTACAACAGGGTATATTGTAACAAATTATTTAGGCCATCCACTTTGCCCTAAAAGTAAGTGTTCATAGATCTACAAGATTTGTATCATTTTTTGAGTTTTAAATTTTAATGTTGGGTTTGAAAATAGATTTTAGAGCCATCATAAATTTTTTTGTAGTTGATAATGCTTTTCAGATGAAGATATGAGGAGATGCTTTATTTTTGTCTTCATAAAGCCTTGGCCTTATAAAAACCTCATCTTTTATATATTTATAAATATTTTTGAATATGTTGTCGATTAATTATTAAGTGTATATCTTTATAAATATAACCTAGTCATGTTTATTTGGGCTTAAAAAAAAAAAGAAGCGTCTTCTCTATTAAATTGCTTTACCTTATTAATCTAAGATGTGGTTTATAATCTAAAATGTATATGATTCTATATGGGATTTGAATTTGCAAGCTTCTAATTCGAAACTAATTACTTTAAATATCATTTTAAAATATAAAACTAAATATAAATAAAATTTATTTTTTATTAGATATATATTAATTAAGTAAAGGTGTGGTTTATATAAGATCGCAGCTTTAAATAATCCAATTAAAGCACACCTCCAAATTTTATCACAACATGTAATTTTGGTGAAAAAATTCTCAAGATTATCTCAAAATCTATTTTCATATCTAATTATATAATTTTAAACTCCAAAAATGATTAAAATCAAATACATCTATAAACACATCTATAAACACATGAAAATGTTGAAAATAGACAGTCTAGATAATGTATTGCAAGATGCACTATTTTTAAGACTCAAAATCTTTTTTATTTTCCTATGATTCCAAGATGATCAATTAGAGGTTTTTTCAACATTAAAACAACCTAAACAACCTTTTCAGATGGATTTTTGAGGTGCATTTGTAATTCTACATTTTAAGGTTGTAACTTTAAATAAACTTTATAATTAATTAAGTAATCGTATATACAGTCAAGGCTGTGTACCGGCTTTTTGAGCCGACGTACTAGACAATTGACAATACGTACTTGATACAACACCAATGTCAATATCCATGTAATATTGACTATATTCCAAAGAGGAAACAGTTGGAATAACACCAATGTCAACATCTCTGTAATATTGACTACATCCCAAAGAGGAAACAGTTTGAATAACATGGAAGGTGAAGAGGCCCATCTTCCACCACAAATGGCTGCCTGAAAGGATTCAACTGAATCTGTAATCCACCAAAACAAGAAGAGATCAACAGCGTACTCTGGTTAGAACGAACGTCATATTGCAAGTAGCATATAAAACAGAAATAAGCAACTGATAACCATACTGGTAAAGAGAGAGGAGCAATCGTACAGGTAAAGAGAGAGGAGCATCAAAAATGCTTGTTATGCAGGAAGCTGCGAGATTTGCAGCTTCTTCGCAGTAATCCGAGAATATTGCTGGCACTTTTATTTCCTTTATTAGTTCCTGGAAACAGCATACAAGAAAAAGGAGGACATAATAGGGGCTTAAACGTAAGCCAACAAGACAATAAGTCCAGACTACAGGAAAGAAAAATGTTTGGAATTATTGTAGCAGTTTCTTTACTAATGGTTTCAGTTACATAACAAAAAGGTTAATCAAAGACGCATTGTTTGTCAGAATATGCAATGAACAAATAACCGATGATTCACACAGCGACTGCATCTGTTTGAGTGATCAACCATGCTACAAGTAGGTGAATAGTAAAGGAGAATGCTACTATAAAAGATTGGGTACTACGAGAATAAATTTTCCATTTTTCAGCAAATGGGGTGGTTGGAAAGTCAGTGAAAACGCTACACGTAAGCAAATCAGTCAACCACATGTTTACTCAAGTTAACTGAGATTCCCAATCACCTTGTATTATGAATGACATTGAATGTTTCAAACTTTTTCTGAATAGATCTTTGTAAACAACAGTGCACTTCTTTACATAACCAATAGAAATATGTCTGAATTGCATTTATGGCGTGTCATGTGTTGCACTATGTTCGACCACTCAGTCTGCAACAGTGATTCAAAACTTGGACGAAGGTCCCGACTCACCAAGGTCATGAGCCGGAGTCAGCAGTCCCACTGGCCCAACTCTCCATGAATATCACGCAGAAAGGCTTCTAACCATTTTAAGACTCAGATGAGTCGCAGGGTTTTGGACCTGGACTTGGTACCCTGCCATGTCTGACTAGCCCCAGTCAGACTTTTAATACACAGATCTGAAAAACTGTTGGCAAGCCTGCCTCTAGCCAATGGTAGCCAGGCAGACTGAAGAGAGAGAGAGAGAGAGAGAGAGAGTATAGGCATTTAAAGCAAAATTAAGGTAGGAGCCAGAAAACATACAATGGTTGGCACCCAACCTGGATACGCAGCAACACCAGCATTTGGAGCAGTAATATAATTAGGGAATGACTCCTGCAAAATAGAAGACACCATGAATACCTTTATTTGGGAACTTAAAAGTGAATAGCAGTACATTAGTTATAAACTCATTCAGCATCTGTTGTTTTTTTTGCATAAATAAGCTCACTAAGCATGTTACAGCTTGTAATCTAAAATTATGCATTAACATTACAATGGGTAAATACTCTAATAAGGAAAATCATATTTTAAATGAAATAATACCATTAGAAATTCATTTTCCATTTCAGTACAGCTGTGCGATAATAATTCTGTGGAGTAATGGGATAGTTCAAACCTGTTTCCAAGAACACACCACATTCATGCCATTGACAGTGATGAAAAGCGATTAAAAAATACGAGTTTGAGTAATTGAAAGCAGTACGTAAGAATTGACATTTGGAAACTCAACTCGTCACATCGGTGAATTGTAGTTCAAATATACAATGCTAGCTAGAACAAAGGAAACTGAGCACTTTTCTCAGTTGCCTAGACAGCAGAGTGAAGCAAATTCAAATAACAGAAAAAAAAAAGAAAAGAAAGAAAAAAGACAATGTATTGATTGAAAAATAATGGATGCTAACAAGCCTAGCCTCAACAGCAATGCAAATTCAATAAGACTCTCAAGAACAATGTTATGAAAATCAATAATCAATTCAGAAAGAAAAATCCTAATATGAAGCTTATTTATAGTAAAATACCTTACTTATAATCCAAGAAATTCAACGTCTGCTTGAAATAGAAGTCTTAATTGAAACATAATTCCTAATAATGCTTTTACCCTTGATGAAATAGACAATTCCGTAAGAAATTTAATAACTTTTCCAAACAGTCCCTAAAATCTTAAAAAGGAAAAAAACTAAAAAAGACAATATGATCACTAAACAACTTCAAAAATACATCTCTAAACCCCAAGAATAAGCCCTAAAAGTCCCAAAATACATCTCTAAAATTTAATACATGAAATTGAAAAATAGAGGGCATTTTACCCTGCATCACAAAGATAACCAAAGAGAACATACAGATTATTCATATCCTGCAATATGAGTTTTCTTCAGCAGAGCGCACACGTTATAAATGACTACATGAATTGCTGATGCAGTCGGAGGCACATCGAAATGAAATATAATCAACTTAGATACATATATACAATTGACCTGATCAATGAAATGGTATGGCTTAGAACTTTTTGAAAGAAGTGGCTATGTGGAATTCAATGGTGTAAAATAAAAAAGAAATCTCTTTTTTTTTATTAATGAATCTGAATTCCAGTTACAAGTGCCACAAAACACTACTGTCAATAAGAAATAAAATCTTAAATACAACTTAGGATATTTCTTTTTACTGCCATATAGAATAAACAGAGTATAGGATCGAGAAACCAACTTTGACTTTAAATTTCAGTACAAACAATGTTCCGGAAACTTCAAATAAACAAGGAAATAATGACTAAAAAATAAAACCAAATAGCCGGGAACAATTACTTGAATATGCCTAGGGTCACCCCTTTAGGACTTAGTACACCTACACCCAATCTCCTAACCGATGAACGCATTCTGTTCCTATTGACGTTGCTGAATTTTCTCAGTTGGGAAGCTTCCTTAAGGCAATACCTCACAATTAGGGTTATGAGAGCATGAGACAATTAGGGTTTCAAGATCCTTTTTAATCATTTGGGGCATGCCACTGCGTGGCACCTCCGCTAATCCTAAACTAGGGCTGGGTGCACCTCCTTCTATGAGCCCTAGGTGGTGCGCACCACCCCCTTAAGGTTTCTAGGGTGGTGCATGCTACCCCCTCTAGAGAGAGACAAGACAGAGGAGAGAAAGCGAGAGTGGGGTGTGGAGGAGAGAGAAGGAAGAGACAGCGAGGCAAGGAAATGTGCGTAGAGAATGAGGGAGGTTCTCTCCTTATATAGGCCTCAAGGGCCCTAGGTATGCCTATCCAACATTGTGATGACTCATTATGACCAATAGGAGTTTAGTTAATCTGAGAGGTAAGAGGTCATTAAATCTGAGCCATCCACCCCATGAATCAACAATCATGATTTAGGGAAGAATCTAGAAATCTTATCCCCTAAATTTTGACCCATATCCAATTCTAGTCAAACTATGATAAGACCAATAAAAAAAATCTTCTACAACTTCTTTTATCTTTCATAAAATTGTAGGAAGTCAAAAATAAAAGATTTGGTAAAAGATATAAACAATATTTTCAAATAACCAACTCCCACAAAAAAATGACACAGTATCCTTTTCAAAAGATTTTCTTACTAACCAAAATACTTTTCAAAATAAACTAAGCAAAGAAGAAAAGGAGGGGGGCATGCTACCTCATGTGGGAGGTGTGGGCCCCAAGGGCTCCACGCTCCACCCATGAGTACGTGGTGCACAGGTATGGCTGGATCCAAGGGTCCCACGTGTGTTTCACTTCACCCCTCCATAGTTCCAAAATATTTGACATGCCCCTCTTAAGGGTTTTTATTACTAAAATTAATTTCAAAAATTCTGAAAGATTTTAAAATTAAAAAAATACATTTCTTACAACAACAAAGTATCCAGAAGTGGACTGATACCAAATGGGTCAAGATACGTTACTGTCAGAGCACTCCACTTGACTCAATAACCATGATTCTCGATTATCTTCTCAAAGCGACCCATTAAGACCCATGACCCACTATCTCATACAGGGGCTTATGAATAGCTCATCAAAGCTGGCTAATAAATAGTGGAACCACGGTCTTAAAATGTAGATTATAGGTCCTCCCCCCCTTTAACAGCAAGTCACCCACATATATTATTATGCTGAATGGGGGACTCTCTCTGTGCACGTGTACACATATCCCTTTTCAGGCTTGTATCCTGGCAATGCGGCCGTCATATGTACATGCCATGTAGCAGTTTGTTCAGGATTTAGCCCTCGCTCTTACGGGCCCACATCCTTAGACAGGAGACCACAAAGCTCTCCTGGCCTAGGCATCTGTCTGACCCCAACAAGGGATGACCCTCTAAAAAAATGCCTCTTTGGTAGTGCCATACGCCCAAGTCTACAGGTTTTAGACATGACTAGGGCCATAGACTACCTAACCCTATTTCAATCAACTAACACACACACTCCCACTGAAGTGTATAATACACTATAATTCCTTTTTTCTTTTTCTACATGCTCTAATGGCCTTTAAAGGCCACAACCCTCAATACTTTTAAGGATCTGGGGTGCATATTGCACTTGATATTACTTCTGAAATTATATTTAAATAAATAAATATGAGGGGTATGATACCCCACGAGAATCAAATCAGTTTTTCCATTTAATAGTTTACTATAAGATTTTACACATTCAAAAGATCCAATTTAAGCCAATTATATCAACAGATCAAGTATTTCCATGAGTGAAGGTTGAAGACAGGTCTATTTCTTAAGGGTACCCGCCGCAAATTTTATTTTGTCTCGAGATTAAATCTGTTAGGTTAGAAAAGTCCAGAGATTTGTTATTCTTAAACAGAATTTTCCTTAAATTCTAGGCTGGATACCAAGATGATTTTGAAAGAAATCCTGCTGGGGTGTATGCCATACCTTTAAGGTACAGTTTTCTATATGTCATGCAAGTGGCAGACCTAAATCTATACACTTGAAGGGTCCTCCCGACTATTATCTCTGAAGGTTCTCGCATCTTTTATCTCTATGTCAAGTTGGTATAATTTAGTAGGGCTGAGTTCTGGACCACCAATTCTTTTCAACAATACAAGGCTGCCTTTTAATTTTTCCGTCTAAAGTGACCTTGGTGGCAAAAGGGATTCTAGCACTCTGTTGTATTGAATGCTTTTATCTATCTGTCAAGTTGGTATAATTTGGAAGGGCTGAATTCCAGACCACCATTTTTTTCAACAATAGAAGGCTACCTTCTAAGTTTTTTGGCTAAAGTGACCATGGTGCCAAAAGGGATTCAATCACACTGTTGTATCGAATGTAAGAATTCAATCCATCCGGCTTGTTATAGTCAAATCTTTCAGATGTGAAGGGACTCAGGAGCATGGCAAATCCCATCCAACAAGGTAGCCCATCATTCCCTTGGAGGTGAGTCTTCCATATTGCCCATTGTCAGAATTGCCAGACAAAGGTCGATCTCAACCATCCGCATCTCTGCCCCTAAAGCTCAAGAGGTCGCAGCCCAACATATCCACAACAATGCGGACACCAAAGAGGCTATGTAGCATTCTCTGGGTGTAAATTCAAAACATTTCTCTTTTTCTTTTATTCACAACAGGGTAATTCTACTTACAATGCCAAAATTACACAACAGAAAATGGGGGAAAAAAAAAGAAGCTAAATACAACCTATGAATCTCAGCTCCTACTGCTGCCTTAAAAGAAATTAAACTTTATTGATAAACAAAATTGAACCACAATTCTACATCAAATAGGAATCCTATTTCAACTAGGAATCCTAATACATGAAAGATGTGGCCATGTAGAATTCAAGACTATAAAATAAATTTCTTTTTTTTTGTTCTTTATTAATGAATCTGAATTCCACTTACAAGTGCCACAATGCACTGTCGTAAACAAAAATTAAAACCCTAAATACAACCTAGGACCTTTCCTTTTACTGCCAAAATAAATGAAGGAATAAAAACCAATCTTTCCACTAACAATTTAGTCCTGAAAAATCACAGCGAATATGGAAACCTAGAAAACACCTATGGAACATGATAACAAAAAATTTCTGTAGAAGGTTGGCAAACAGGAAAGGGACGTTTCTCTCATTGGGAGGTAGGGCAACCTTGATCACAGCAACCTTGGCTAATGTACCCATTTAACTCATGTCCATGTCCCAGATCCCAGCCAGCATTGCTTCAAAGTTAGAGTCCCTAATGCACAATTTTCTGTGGAATGGTAGCAGTGAGGCCCATAGATTTCATTTAATAACCCAGGATAAGGTATGCCAAACAAAATTAGCGAGCGGCCAACCTTGCATTCTTGGGAAAATGGTGGTGGAAATACAGCTTGAATGCAGCCCAATTATGGAAGGAGGTTTATTCACGGTAGGTAAAGATGCGAGCAGCGTAGTTGGCTTCCCAAATATGCAAAACACCGAGCATCTGGGGCTTGGACCAGTTTAACAAAAAGTAGAACCCTTTTCATTTCCAAACCAGGCTCAAAGCAGAAAGGGTAAGATTTTGGACAGATCTGTAGAAGAGAACCCAAACCATAGCAAATTGATGGCCTCATCTCTCCGCTTTAGCCTTGGATAAACTTGCAACAGTAAGGGATTATGCTGACCACAGTGGGGGACGCTTAGTGTCGACTCCACACTTTACGAGGCCTCAGTCAGAACCAGAAACCAGCCAAATCACAGCCCTTCTAGACTCACTGAATTCCTTCTCCGTTGCCCTTGAGGGGGAGGATTGGCTTCTTTGCGTTCCTAGGACTAGGGGCCTCTTGATAGGCTCGTTTTGCTCATCCTGCTGCCTACTCAGATCTCCAAACCCATTTCAGTAAAATTTGGTCCGCCCTGTTCCACTAAAGGTTCAAGATCTTGCTTGGATCTTAGCGCATGGAAAAATTATGACCATTGACCAACTTTGAAGAAGGGGTCCACAACTGCCTAATTGATACATAATGTGCAAGCGGGATGGAGAGAATGCAAGCCACCTTCTCCTCCATTGTCCAATTATTTCTTCTCTATCGGGCCATATTCCAGACCTTTTTCGATTGGCCTTGGGCCTACCCACAAGATGTGGAGCAACTTTTTGAGGCCTACTTAGCGCCTCCTCTCTCAAAAACATGTCGTAATATATGGAAAATCACAACTCTAGCCTGTCTTTGGATTATCTGGAATGAAACAAAAGCATGAATCTTCCGAGGACCAAAACCAACTGCTGCTCCCTCTTCTTGACTGTACAATATTCTCGTCTGAGAGACTACCTCTCTTTGGCAATCGAGGTTCATCCATCTTTCTTTCAAATTGGAAAAGCGTTCTGTGCCTCGTATCAAGGTCATCTTACCCATGGGAGAGACGGAATAGGAATGGTGAGAAATATAATGGGGCATGTAAACCTCTCCCTAAAGCTTTGGGGCGAAGTAGTATTGGCGGCAGGATATATTCTCAATAGCACACCCACTAAGGCTACTCCTCTTACTCATGAAATATTTATTGGTCGTGCTTCGTCCCTTGAGAATCAACAAGTGTAGGGTTGCTCTGCCCATGTCCTTATCTCATACCAAAATAGTACCAAACTTGATCCCAAGATCGTTAAGCGCATCTTCATCGGCTACCCGTTTTGTTCAGGTGTATAAGGCATGGTGTATTAGTTTATAAATGCCCTTTTCTCCACATCCCCCAAATGGAATAATTGGGTAGTTCATGTGGCAGTGTCAACACTTTCCTATGTATTATACTATGTACTATATACTTTTCTGTCTCGATACATTTTCTTGTAGTTTCTTTACATGTGTTGTGCATGATTGCCTTAAAAAAAAAGTCAATATTTCTACCCTGAGCCTTACAAACACTAGAATTGCTAAATTTTATTTCTTTAAGCTTTGGACATCCAATTTCCAAACATGTCTTTCACAAAGTATGAGCCTTCATATGCCAAACAATTTAAGTGGGAGAGAAAGGCTAAAGAGGGATGCTTTATAAAGGAATTCAGGTTTGTTACACCTTGTACAGTGCATCAAATACACACTGAAAGATGACTCAAGAAAGGCCGTGTACCTTTGTTATGTCTTTGAAACGGTCATGATAAAGACCCTTCCAGAGCTGTAAACTCACTATTGAATAATTGGTGTTGCATGCATTTTCAGCAGTAGACATTGATAACTTACACGAGCAATCCATATCCGAACACCTGATATAATTGTCAAGTACAAGCTGCTCACCATCCCTATCGATCAAAAACATGAAAAAAATAGAAACTATGTTAACAAATGGGAATCGGAGGAACACATGCGACAAAACACACAACAAAATCTGAGCAGCATAATGTACCAATCTTATGTATACAATCAGAAATCACTTGCTGTGTATTTTTAACAAAATCTATTTTATGATAAACACCAATATGAACTCAGTATGATGATACATTTGGCAAGATTTTAACTTTTACAAGAAGAATCTAGAAGCAGGATTGCTAATCCCAAATAGTTGGGATAAGACTCAAATGATGATGATATGAAGCATCTGCAAGCATTTGAAGACCAACGCCATGTGAGACAAAGCATTTATTAAATCAAATCAACATGATGGGGCATGATAGACGACTAAGCATTTGCAATTTACTTTTTCTTTTGAATAAACGTCCAGTTATTTTTTATCACAAAATTGTTTTGGAAATCCAATTATAACAGCCCTTGCATATTAAGATCTGGTAGAGAAAAGGGTTAAAATGAGGTTTCTGAGATTTATAGGGTTTAGAGGCTATCTAGTGTATCTCCCTGGAAACTAAGGGGTTGAGTGGACTAGGATATAGGCTAAGGAAATTCACGCTCCTATGTCACTTTGAGTTTTAAAACCCTTTTTCAAGCCTCTGGGAACCCTCATTTAAAGTAAAACTCTAGGATTCAAGGGGAGGCAGTCCCACCATCTCAGATTGGAGTCCTGGGACTTCTAAAAGACAGTGTATGCAATTTAAAACCTCAAGATGCTTCTAGTAGGAGGGCGAGCAACTAATTTGGTGATTGAGAGCCGCAACAATGAAGCTAAAAGAGCTCCAAGTTTGGGCTCTAGAGCCATACACTATGACTCTAGTAGGATCATTCTGGGATTTCAAGGTTTATCCACTAAAATGGCCATTTCTCCGCAACCATAGGTTGGAATATTGGGTTGCGGTAATTCCAAAAATTGAAAATGTGATGCAAATCAGGAGATGGATAATTCGAATTATTTATTTTTGGCTTTACTTGTTATTTATTATTAGGGTTATGTTTTTTGGTGAATGAAAAAAAAAAAAAAGGTTCTAGGACATAGAATGTATAGAGAGAGAGAGAGAGAGAGAGAGAGAGAGAGAGAGAG